CAGCCTGCTGTACCGGCGTGCCCTCCCAGGGGTGCGGCCAGGCTCCCTGCCCAAATCAGAGGAGTCCCGAGGGGCCCTGGCCTCCACAGTCCTCCAGCCCAAGCTGGGCAGCACTTACCAAGGCCAGGCTGCAGGGCAGAGGCAGGGGTGAGGAATGGGAGGTGGGAGTGGGCTCCAGGAGGCTGGACATTGTGACATCACTCCTGTCGTGGAGTGATGGCCCTCGAGCGCCCAGGCCCCGCAGCAGAGCAGGTGGGCTGACCCCAGGCTGAGCCTACAGGCCTCCCTGGCCTGTGTGATCTCAGAACAGGCTCCTGGGGGCAGGTTCTTCCCACAGGAACTGCAGCCAGCGAGGGAAAGCCACTTCTGAGACACCCCAACAAGGGGCCCGGCGTGCCCTATGGCCATGTCCCCATGCGCGCCATCACTTCCTGCAGGGAGCAGAGCCCGCGGGCGGACCTGCGCGGCACCGAGGACTCCACCCAAGGGTGCACAAGGCCCTCCCCTCTGCCCTGCCAGGCAGGGGCTGGGGCGCCTCAGGCATGGTGACACAGAAGGACACCCGGCCGAGGTGAAGGCCAGGACATGTGACAGGTGTGACAGGTGTGACAGGTGGGTACTTACTTTTGCTCCGACCTCCTGGGGCAGCGTAAAGGAAAAGCAGCAGGTTAGGGCAGTTGAGAAGGTGGGCACCAGTGAGGGCGCCTGGCACAAAGCAGAGCAGGTGAGTTTGGTAAAGCCAGGTGGCCAGCACTGGGCAGGTGGCCCCCACTGGAATCCCTGGCAGCCTGCTGCCAGCCTGACAGGAATGCTCCTGGAGTTCCTGCTGGCTGGAGCCCAGGTGGGCCCTGGGCACAGGTAGGAGGCACTGTCTGAGCCACCCAATGCCCATCCAAGCCCAGGCAACCAGGGATGGGGTGAGCCAGCACCCATCAGTGCCCCTGGAGCTGCAAGGAGAGCCCAGCGTGAGCTGCGAGAGACTCCCAGTCCTCCCATATGCCCACCCCAGCGCGCACGGGAGGGTGGACCCTTCCACGGGGCTGCAAACGCCAGGACTCTGCCCCCAAGCCAAGAGAGCTGCTTCACGCTCCCAGTTAAGTTCTGGGAAAGCCAGTGGGCACACCGCCCGGCCCAGGGCCTGCCCTCTGTCAGCTCAGCGGCAGCCAGAAGCAGGCTGCAGGGAGGCCCTGGTGGCCATGGGCCCCAGCACCCTCAGGCACAGGACCCACCACACCCCTCTCAGCAGAAAAGCCAGTCTGAGCTGAAGCACTCGCCCGAGGACCCAGTACAAGCTCACAGTTGTCCAGCGAGGATGGCCGGACGCTCTCAATCCTGGGGGTTCACTGGCAGGGGACTGGGATGCCCTCCAACCCCGGCTGGGTCCTTGGTCTTGGCAGCCTGCCCAGTGAGCCCTGCGGGGCTCTGGCCAGGGCTGGCAACCTTGGGGCACTCACAGACTGAGTATGTTCCTGCCTGAGCAGAGCCCAGGCCTGGCTCTGTGGCTAGCTGGCCCTAGGTATGAGGCTCCATGGTCTGTAAGCTGGGGGGCAGTTCTCCCAGCACCAGCAGGACCTGGCTGCGGAGCCCGAGGAAGGTGAGGAAGTGGCCTGGCTGGGCTGCCCACCCAAGTGCCGAGAGCCTGGAGTCTCCATGTGCCCCCCACCACACGCTCCACCACCCACCCTCAGGATGCTGCCTTAGGAAGCCTGTGCCCACCAGTCGTGGATGCAGCAGGGTCTGACAGTCCACCTTCCATGCGGCCTGGGGACTGAAGAGGTTGATGGCACGGAGCCTGCTGGCAGCTCGGCCTGAGCACCCCCACAGGCAGGCAGAGCGCTCTGGACTCACCAGGCCTGGGTTTGTGGGCCAGCCCTGCCAGAAGAGCCTTCTGAATCTCCAGTGTCTACGAGGGCAGCTCCCTCACACAAAATGTGGTGGGGCACCTTAGCAGGCCACACCAGCATCTCTGGGCAGGGGTGGCATGGCTGGCCTTCCAAGGCCTCTCTCCCGGGCTGTGCAGGGTCTCTGCCCTGTGCTCCTGCCGACTCCCACTACATCGCCCCTGCGCACAAGTCACAGCCTGCCTGTGGCACGAAGGGCCCTGTGTCTGAGACCCAGGACTCAGGCAGCAGCCACCTCGGGCCACCACCCAGGCCCCGCCAGCCCCAATACGTCCTCGCCTGCAATGCCACCGCAGGCCACCTCTCTTTCTGTCCCAGCCCGGCTGTGGCACCTCCTAGGCGGCTCCAGTACCGCGGGTGCTTTGTCGACCCTGCCCCATACACACATGCACCTGTGCCAGAGCCCAGTGATGGTCTACACGTGCAGGGGAAACTGAGGCCCTGAGTGTCCGTGGCTATGACTTCCTTGTTGAGGTGAGAAGAGCTGGGGGCCACGGCTGTTCCAAGGCTGCCCAGTGCACGCAAGTCTCGCAGTCATCGTTTCCCACGGCACCTTAACACGCCAACACAGGACCAAGGCCACGGATGTCGGGAGCCAGCATTTCCTGCCCTCAGCCCTCCCAAGCGCCTGGCAAGCACATCTGTGCTAAACCCTGCAGCCTGGCCTAGCTACTGGGTGCAAAACCTAGGGACCAGCCCTGCCCCACCTCTTCCAGAGGGCCAGAGAGCCCGACAAGGGCCTCACAGCAGGAAGGTCCCTGGCTCCACCTCACCCCAAGTCCCACAGCCCCAACCCACACCCCAGGAAGAGGAACCAAAGCCCTGGGCAGAACTGGCACCACACAGCTGGGAGGGCACTTGGCCCCTGCAGAGGGCTCCCTCCTGGCCTCCAGATGCATCCTGGCCTGTGCTGCCACAGGGCTGGCCCAGGGCGCAGAGACCCTGCAGAGGTGGGGCCCCAGTGTGCACACAGCACAGAGGGACTCAGGAAGTGACCAATCACAGGTGAGCAGAACAGCCGCGGCAGAAGCCTGCCCTGCCTGCCTTCCTGAGTTGCAGGTAGTGCCGGCCTAAGAAGCAGACAGCCTGTGTGCCAAGGGCCACCCAGCGTTATGGGAACCAGCCCTGACGTCCCATCAGGTCCCCATCATTCCTCCCCTTTGCTCTGCTCCAAGTCTTTCCCTTTTCCACTTACAGCCTCTTTGTAATAACGCCACCATCCCTTTCAAAGAGCGGCTTCAGTCACCTCTCTGGAGACTGCAGGACCATCTTATGCAAATCGGGAGGACCTCAGCCCGGCACGAACTTTCTCTTCTGTGTTCACTAACGGTCAAAGGTCCACCAGCCTTTTACCCGTGCCTGAACTGTCCAAGCCCAGAACCCAGGCTGCAGTACTTGCTCAATAAACACGTGCTGAACGACACGCCTAACGGATCCTCGCCCACGGAGACGGAAGCTGATCCTGGCTCCGGCAGTACGGCCGCGGGGTTGGTTGCACGACCCTGGTGCACCGCCAGTTGCAGCGTGCAGAGCGGGTCGAGGGCCGGTACCTCTCCCCCGGAGTCTCTGGCCCCCGGTCCGCCCCGCCACGTGGCTTTCGCCGCCCCGCCCCTCTGCGCTCTGCAGGACAGCCGCACTTGGCCCACGGCCCCTAAGCCGGCACGCTGGCTGACTTGCGCCCGGCCCCTAACGGCGCAGATTCACGGCGCACCCTGGGCCGCCTGCCCTCCCCGCCCCGCGGGCCTCTGCGGCGCGTGCGACCCCTCCCGGGGGACGCAGTACTTACACGCCGGCCGAGGACGGGGCGACCACTGATTAGGAACCGGTGGGCGCTGGGGAGCTCAGGAAAGGAAGGGCAGCTCGGGCCGCGCACGGGAAATGAAGCACTAGGCTGTACCAAGTGCCCTGGGCCGGGCCGCGGGGGTCCGCGCAGCGCGCACGTCCCACTCGCCCTCGGGGCCCTCGGCGGGACGCGGCACGAAACCGCCAAAGCAGCAGCCGCACGGAGACAACCGCGGAGGTCGCTCTTCCCAGAGGAGCCTGAGCCACAAGGCGGGAAGGGGTCCGCGGTGCGCCTGATCCCCCTCTGCAGCTCGCCCGGTGGAGTCGCCGCACCGAGGGGGTGGGGCTGGCGGGCAGGCAGCGCGGGTGACACGGCGAGGCGGCCAGAGCGCAGGCGCCGCCCGGGGCCGGGCCGGGGCGGGGAGCT